CCTCGCTTCCAATGTTGCCCTAAACTGGCAGTGCTACCCGCCGAATTACCAATGCGGTGAAAGGACCGACGATTTCTGCGCGAAACTCGATGATTCGTTCGTTATTTCGTTGGAAATTCGATTACGCGGTTGTAAAAAATAGGATGGAATTTATGCTTTCACGTGTTTATCTCGAAATATTATCTCCAATATCTATTACAATATACATCGATAATACTGAAAATAAAGTGAAGTTAGCTGTTTGAAATTACGGCGACTTCAAATTTTTAGAATAGAGTTTAACGATGGTTTAAAATTGAACACTTTTTTTTTAAAGTTAGAAGGATTGAGTGAAAATTGGAATTATTGGGGGGAAAATGGTAATTGGTGTTTCATCATTATCGTTTTGGATTAGCTTTGATCATAGAGATGTATTAACAGTATATAAAAGTAAAATGCAAACAGTTATCCAGTGTGTCCGTATCTTGAAAATTTATTTTTCGTTCCCTGTCTGCGGTATGTAAATGGAATTTGGCTGGGAAATAAAACCGTTATGGTTGGAAATAGAAAAATAGAGTCGTGTGGGAATTGGTTTGCTGTCAGCAGTGATGCTTCGTTTACTTGTTTCCCGAAATTGATATTGGAGCATATGAAACTAGTGAATCTGAGCGTGTCTACCAAGGAATATTGTACGATAGAAGCTTCGAAGAAACAAAAGAAATTATAAATAATCACAAGAACCATTCCAATTTTAAAATTTTTTTCAAAAACGATGATTGATAAATAATTGATAAAAATTTAAAAATCTCTGATTACTTACTTAAATAAAAAAAATATAAAATATAATATTCTAAAATTATTATAAACAACTTGGGATTATCTCGAGGGGATATCACGACGTGTATCATCGTTTACACGAGATTGGCACGAGATCGTTTCCAACTTGCTTGCTATATCGAGAGAAAGAATGATCTGCTTCGTGTCATCCAGATAAAAGTTTCCTCAGAGTGTTGGTAAATGGTGGAAGGATTTGAGGACACGCGTGGTGAACCCACATCTCAATGTTACTCTACTTTATAGGAGTTGGAATAAGCGCGAAGAAAAGTTGCACAGTGTCTGCAATGCGATTCTCGAGAACATCTCCTCGATCACTATTACATTTTTTTCTACAGTATTCTATTTTCTTTTCTAATCGAACGATGATGATCGTTTGTTTCATTTTAATTCTACTTCCTCGTATTTATTTATTTTTATAAATTCTAGATTCTGTCTATAAGAATGATAATGATCGTGAACGAAATGAAAGGACACGCGTGACGATAATAATTTAGAGGGTGTGTTTCCGTTGCAGACGACGTGCCTAACAGAACTGCCAGACGTGGCACCGTGCAACGGCACAGTGCGACTGCCACCACCGTGCGAGGATTCGCCGAGCAGCGGTAGCAGCAAAGATCGGAGGGAAGAGAGTCCTC